CCTACCAGTAGTCCCTTGCTTGACTGAAACAGGAATCATAGTTCCTAAACAGCTGCTTCCTCAGACAGCAAGAGAACAGCTGAAGGGGACTCAGGCCAGGCACGGACACAAAAAAAGGCAACTGATTATTTCAAGTTGAGAGGCAGATTGTAGGACAGGCTCCAGTCACCCATTTAACCAACATGAGATGGGTCTTCAGATTTTCATCTCACTTCTTTAAGCTGCTCCTTCCCACATTTTCTTTGGGGGAGAGAGGCTGTAAAGTGATGCCAACACCATTTGTTGGATATACAGATGCAAAGCACTAGGGAAAAAGGAGAGCTTGATGAAGAGCATATTTGCCACATAAAATCATCTCAAATCTGGAACAATTCCCCACGCCCTACTGGCAAGCATCGCCTACAAAGTCCTCCTTCCTTCCTATATTTAGGTCAGCTGGGCTGAGTCAAGCCCTCCAAGAGCATCCCTTGCTTTCGTAACTTTCTGTTCTAGAACAGAAAAGCCAGACATGCTTTTCTCAGATCATTTGTTTGGATCATACATTAACACTCCTAAAGGCAGAAAGTAATGCAATAAAAAAATAAGTCAAGGCTGTTTCTAAGGGCTTCTCTTGGAACATCCAGCCAGCTTACAAAAGCCTTCACCCATCTGTAATGCCAAATACTGCCCAAAAAAGTTCCACCCCTACCCTACTGAGGCACCCAGATCTCACACATAGGGAATTTATCCTAAGGGAGTATATCCTTAGGGAACACACTGCTTTAAATGCTCTGCTTTGCATAACAGTTCAATAAAGTTTGTGTGGCTTGTGTTCCCATTTACAAATAGCTACTCTGCTTGATTTAGCTTCAACTTGTACCAAATTGTTTCCATCTCTATTTACGGAAGTCACCCAAAGTGCTGTATAAAACAGAGTTTTCTCCCCCAAATTAACCCCTCAATTTAACAGATTCCACATTCAACCATCACAGCAATCTCTTCTAGTCTCTAAACTCCAATTTAGCCTGCTGAAGTTACTTAGTGCCTTCTTACTGTAACCATTAAACCTGGCTGGCTGGTTTCATTTGCATTTTGAGCTTTTTCTAATTAGCAACACTTTCTGCTCCTTCATAGCAGTGTAAGATTCTAATTTTTGAATCTCTAAGAATACAGGTCAATGCCCAAACTGATTACTTCAGTGAAATAATCAAATGCATGCTCCATAAATGGATCGTGCTAGTTTTTAACAAAGTAATAATTATGTATGTACAAAGATGTAGGTGACATCTTGAAAGTGACATAAAGTGTACAAAGAGTGAAGGCACAGCCCTTGCAACATTACTTTCTTTAACAATAAAAAATAAATTATGCTGCTTGAATTACTAATTTCAAATTAATTTATTACCTAAAGAGCTCTGCTCTGTAAAATGGTGGATGAAGAAGATTTCTAGCAGAGAGAGCACACACAGCAGGATCATTTTTCTGAACAGTGTAACACACATCTGTCTGCAAAAACTGTGGCAAAACAAGGCGTCAATTACATTCCTAATACAAACAAGAAATTGACCTTGTCCTTCCTCATTCAAGAAAATAAAAAACAGTAACTAATATTATCTGCCTAGAAGAAAAATATCTCATTTACACAGCCCCTTGCTGGATTTGCAAAACTGCTGCCCACGTAACAATTATTACTGCGGCTAACGGAGTGGAAGTTAGCAAAAAAAAACCATTCCCTTGGAAACAATGTCTCGAGCAATCACATCAAAGCCATCTAATCCAAGCAGGAAGGCAGCTCCTGGAAGGTTCAGCTGGGCAGGACTGTGCCTTCCCGAGCCGCACGCGCTGCGTCCGCACAGACGAGCGCGCAGCACGCGGCCGCGGCTCCCGCTGGCTCTGCTGGCACAGACCTTGAGCAGTATCAAAGCGCTAGATTCTGCAAACACTGCTGGCATGCGCCCACCGAGGGGAATGAAAGAGCCCAAAAGTTTCCATGGACCTAAACACGGAATGATCTGCTGCTGTCGAGGCCAGCCTGAAAGCGGAGAAGCCGATCATTGATCGGCCGCGCTGCCGCCCAGGAAAAAACAAGCTCAGCAGCACAAGCCAGGTGTGTGAACAGCAAATCCTGTGAGTGGCAGCCTGTGAGTCTGTTAGAAACTCAGAACACCCTGTTTCGTGTTAATTATATTTACATATTTGCCATCCACTTAATTACCGTGCCTGTCAAACGCCGCAGCCGGATCTGGCGGTGCAGCACTACCCTTTCCTGATGGAAGGGATCTGCACCTTCTACCCCTGCTCTGAATGGCTCTAGACAAGGTGATAAACTACTTCAGAAAGTGCCTCAAACGTTAAAACTACTGCTGATTAACATGACTAATACTGCTACCAAACCCTTGTCACTACAAGATGCTTCACTCTCACAATTTCCTTCCTCCTGCTCAGTTACTTCCCCTCACGATTGCTCTCGCTGCCCTCTTCACCACGCCAGGCTCCCTCCTGGGCTGTGCGAGACACAGAGCAAGACATCCCAGCTGCAAGTCCAAACAAATTCCATATTCAAATGGCAGGAGTTCCACACTTTTCCTGCAAGTCTTGCTGTCTCATAGGAGCACACAGCAGTGAGAACGGTGGGTTTGCCAAAATAACCACAAAATAAAAGGTACCTCTGTGATTCCGTCTAGTTTGGACACTCTCTTGGGCTATCCCACATGGACATAGGGAAAATGAGACTCTAGGATCTCAAATAACTTGCCATCACCTCTGGCTTCTGGATAACAAAGGACCAAAGCCAAGAGAGGAGTGAAAATCTATGTGCAAAAGCAACGTGTCTGTGTCCCAGTTTTGCCTAAAAGGAAGAGCCAAAATATCAGTAACCCTCCCACCTTCTTAACATGGAGGCTCTCAACATCCTTGCTAAGGAGAGACAAAAGGTTTAGTTGACATATTCTTGATCATACAGAAGGATTCATCTGGGATCCTTTGTGTGGAGAACAGGCAGTTAAAAAACAAAACAATTAAAGAGCTCTGAGACAGAGTAATGCAAATAGATAAAATAATATGGGAAAATGCTGAACCTTGAACTTGGCAGTTCACAGTTTTAGCACTCAAGGGAAAAGATAAAAGACATGCTTGTGTTGGGCTTTTTGAGCAAATGGAGTTGTCCTTTAAACAAACCCCAGGAGAAGGAAGGGGGGGAAAAAAAAGCCACAAACCACCACAATATTTGAGTCGTCAAACCATTACACAACACAGTGAAAAGCAGACCTAAGATAAAGAAATGAGAAAGTGAGAGAGAAACGTGCAACAGAAAAGAGCAGCTGGGCTCCTTGTTAGAGACTGATGTCTTCCTTGATCAAATGACAGCACAGCCAGGACACATTTGTGGAACTCAAACCCTCATCCCAAAACAATTCTTAGGATATTATCATGACTCTAACAGACAGCACAATCACTCTTACTTGCTATCTCATGTCCAGGACACAAGACATTCTTGTCCTCCTACCTCAAACTCCACCCTTGGGAATCTTCTCATCACCCCGCCACAAAAATCTGCCTTCAGAGAACACACTGCGTGAATCACTCAGACAAAACTCTGCTGGGTGTATTCCAAAGATGCTACAAACCACCAGAAAATGGTGCACAACAACTGGAAAGGCACTGGTGGTAATGAGGAGCACAATGTCACAGCTAACTCAACCTACCAGCCAGTGCCACCAAAAATAAGCCATAAATTAGCATTCACCCGATCCTGCTGCAGCTCTGAATCAGGAAAGGAAACCAAGAGAGAGACCGAAAAGTCTTCCAGAAGACAATTTATCTAGTAACCCATCTTGGGGTCACACCAACACCAGGTGGGCTGACACACATAACCCACGCTAGGGGAAGAGGATGGCCACATTCAGCAGCAGCACTGGAGCAGGTTAGACACTGAATCACAGAATGGTTTGGGTTGGAAGGGACTCAGATCAACCCTGTGCCATGGGCAGGGACACCTTCCACCAGACCAGGTCCCTCAGAGCTCCATCCAACCTGACCTTGGACACTTCCAGGGATGAGGCAGCCACAGCTTCTTGGGGCAAGCTGTGCCAGGGCCTCCTCACCTTCACAGAGAATTTCTCCCTAATATCCCATCTTTTTCAGTCTGAATCCATTCCCCCAGGTCCTGTCCCTACATTCTCCTGTAAACTATCCCTCTCCATCTTTCTTGTAGGTTTCCTACTAGAGAAGAATCCCAGGGCTCCTTATCCCCCTTTCCCCCATTGGAGGACTGCCACAGCAAGGATGGCTTTGTCAGATTTAGTAAACATAAAAACCAAACTCACATTATCTTGGTTACCACCGAACCAATTTAAGTGCACATAAGAAGAATAAGGAGGCAGGAAGCATCAGCAATCAGCTGGTTTGGAAGGTTAAAGTCACATTGAGCACAATGCAGCATCTGGTGGGCAGCAATATAAAAACCAGTTTCCAAGTTAGAGGGGTCACTTATGCCCACACCCAGCATCACCTTGCAGCATTCTGGTTTTCATTTTTCACCCCCATCCCTGGAAGTGCTCCAGGCCAGCTTGGATGGGGCTCGGAGCAACCTGGTCCAGTGGAAGGTGTTTCACGGCAGGGAGCTTGGAAGGAGATGATCTGCGGGATCCCCTCCAACCCTAACCACGCTGTGATTTTATGATTTATACCTATCCATAACACACCCGAGCGGCCTATTTCCAGTGCTGAGCACCAATCCCAGTGGTTCTCAGCAGCAGCAGCGGCCGGCGATGGACACCCCCTCCGGCGGGGCTGCAGCGGGGCGGCTCCGGCACCGCACGCCCTTCCCTCACGGAGCGCCGGAGCGGAGCCCGGGGATGCTGCCACAGGCGGGGGTGAAGCAGGGTTTCCACCTCGCCCTTGAGCCGCCGCGGTGCCGGTGGCCGGGGGCGCCTGCGCGGCGCTCGGGGGAGCCCGTGGGGGAAGGCGAGGGGAGGAGGATGGAGAAGGGAGAAGGGGGGATGCCGCCTCCCGCCGCTCACCTCGCGGGCGATCTGGTTGAGCGCATCGTCCTCCGCCGTCAGGCGCTCCCGGTTCGGCAGCCGCTTGCGTCCGGCGCCCGGCGTCCCCATGGCGGGACGGTCCCGACCGGCCCGGTCCGGTCCGGTCCGGAGCGCAGCCGAACCCGGAGCCGGAGCCGCTGCCCGCCGGCCCCGAGCGACCCTCCCGCTCCCTCCGCCGCCTCCGCCGGCGCGGCCGTCACCGCCCCCCGCCCCGCGCATGCGCCGCCGCCCCCCGCCGTGAGGGGACGGGCCGCCTCACGCCCGCCCGAAGCCGGGCTGGGGGTGTCCGCTCGCTGCCCTCGCATCTGAAACCCGGCTGGGGGTGCCCGCTCGCTGCCCTCGCATCTGAAACCGGGCTGGGGGTGTCCTCTCGCTGCCCTCGCATCTGAAACCGGGCTGGGGGTGCCCGCTCGCTGCCCTCGCATCTGAAACCGGGCTGGGGGTGTCCGCTCGCTGCCCTCGCACCGAACCTGGGCTGTGTTTGGGGCTCCCTGCCCGCTGCCCTCGCAACAAACCCGGGCTGTGTTTGGGGCTCCCTGCCCGCTGCCCTCACACCGAACCCGGGCTGTGTTTGGGGCTCCGTGATCCCTGCCCTCGCCTCCGAAACTGGGAAGTGTTTGGGGCTCCCTGCCCGCTGCCCTCACACCGAACCCGGGCTGTGTTTGGGGCTCCGTGATCCCTGCCCTCGCCTCCGAAACTGGGAAGTGTTTGGGGCTCCCTGCCCGCTGCCCTCGCAACAAACCCGGGCTGTGTTTGGGGCTTCCTGCTCTCTGCCCTCACCGCCCGAGATCGCGGTGTGGGTCCGTGCTCACTGCCATCACCACCCAAAATCGGGGGCTGTGTGGGACCTTGCTCACTGCCCTCACACCAGAAGTTGGGGTGCGTGTGGGATTCCTCCTCACTCCCATCACCACCCAAAATCGGGATGTGTGGGGTCCCCTTCCTGCTCCACTACCCTCACTGTGGACCAACCCCCTTCCCACTGGGGTGCCTGGGCTCCCTGCCAAGCTGTACGAAATTACAGAATCCCAGAATGGGTCAAGTTGGATGGGACCACAAAGGGTCACCTGGTCCAACCTCCCTGCTCCAGCAGGGTCATCCCCGAGCCCTGGCACAGGATTGTGTCCAGACAGCTCTGGAATATCCCCAGTGAGAGAGACTCCACAGGCTATCTGGACGCTCTGTTCACTGCTCCGTCACTGGCCAGGGACGAATTCTGCCTCCCGCTCAGGTGGAACTCCTGGGCATCAGCATCTGCCATTGCTGGGCCCCATGGAGCAGAGCCTGGTCCATGCTCTGGAATATCCAGATACATAAATATCCATCCTTTGGATATTTATACACGTTACAAAGGTCCCCTCTCAGCTGTGCCACCTCTTGAGCTCCTCCTTTCCTCCTCAGAGATGCTCCAAATCCCTTCATCACCTCTGCAGCCTCCGCTGAAACCCCTCCAGGAGCTCTGCCTCTCTTGTCCTGAGGAGCTCAGAACTGGACACAGTAAATTTACCACAAATCATGGAAATGGACATCAAAACCTTGCCAGCTGTAAAGCTGGGGGTTTCCTCTGCCCCAAATAGAGGGGGAGCAGGGCAGAAACAAGACTCCTTGTGCCCTGACACCTTACACATCTTCATAGCCCTATGGGGTCTCTTCAACAATGAATTTTCCTATTAAGTGTAAGTGGACATGATTAATTTTAGTTTCAAGTACATCAGTGCTTAATTAATTCACACTGACAAGGAACATGTATTTTCTGGGATTCCTGTCACAGCCCTTACACCTCAATTTTCACGCTAATTCCTTAAATATGAATTAAAGTGGCTCAAGCTCACATTATTACATAGAAAGAGAAAAGGGCTACAAAACCAGAAAGCTGCTTTTAATCTTTATGATTTACTTTTACCATAAATTTAAACTTGATTGAGGTAAGAGGCAACACCTGCCCACTCAATATTTATTGGCGGTTTCCGTGTACAATACCTGAGATTTGAGTCATATCTCAGACTGACTGGGTAGTGATACTGCATCAATGCTGCTCCTTGCACCTGGGACTGTTTATCTTTGCAAGAATTAAATGATTATTTTGTCAGCAGAAGGAGATGGATGAGTCCCCCACCTTGCCTGGGCAGCAGAACGTGCGTCACACCCTCAGATTTGGTGTCAGGTTTACTCTGACCCCACACAAGTGGATTAAAAAGTTCCTGCTTTGCAAGGCAGCACAGGGGCTTTAAACTGAGCTCTCACCCTGGAGGCAAAGCTTTGCTGGGTCTGGTTTTCCTAGATATCCCTCAGGCTTCCCTTTTCCACCTCCCCAGGCCCTGGCTTAGCACTACCACCCATTCAGGCTCTGCATAATTCATTCCCTGAGCCCTTATCCTCACATTTGCCCCTGCCCTTTGAGGAATTCTGGCTAGAGAGGCAGGGCAGTGCCTTATTTTTAGGTCCCTGTTACCCAGGGATTTTGGCCACCTGTGCAGCTGCATCACGGTATCCATGCAAGGAATTTCCCCGTTCAGGGGTGCAGTAGGATTTGCATCAGTGCTGTTTGCCTGCCTGGCTGAAAGCCTTGCAGAGCCTTGGGCTAGGCAGGTTTTTTTTGTCCGAAAACCGACTATTGAGGGGACAAAGGAAAGGCAGAAGGGAAGGGAGGGAAGAAATAGAGGGGAAATAGAAATCTGGGGGGGGCAAAGGGGGAAGAGAGGGGAAGAGAAATACAAGGGAAGGAGAAAAGAAATGGGTGGGAGAAAGGGAGAGGGAAGAAACAGAGAGAAAAAAGAAATGCAGGGGAAAGATGGGAAAGGGGGAGAAGAGAGAAACAGAACAGGGGAGAAAGGAAGAAATAGAGAAAGGAAATACAGGGGAAGGGGGAAAGAAAGATGGAGGAGGGAAGGAAGAATTCAAAGAGTAAAGCAGAGAAATTGGAAGAGAACACGCTGGTGGGTGACTGCAGTCAGATTTCAAATCACTCACTGAATGCGCTCTGCAGTGTAAGAAATCCTTGTCTTTCCCTGCATTCCAGACATGCACAGTAATTTTCTTTTCTTTGAATATAGACAAAATAAGCCATCTCGTTATAAAAATACTATACATAGATAATTTGTCCAGATAAATTTGAAATAATGGTTCAAACCACGTTGGTTTTGGCTGCGCTGTGGAGCGCAGTGAGTGAAAATGAAACACTGAGCATACATTCCTTATTTTAACAAGCAACACAAGGGCGAGGCTGGTTTTGTCTGAAAGTCATGACTGTGATGAATGATAGCCGGACAACACTGAGTATCCCATGCCAGTTTTAAAGGGCTCTGTTGTAAGTGCATAATACACCCCTCATTCTCCAGTATCCTGTGTGCAAGGAGGCTGCTTTGTGCAGAGCACACCCTAAAAGATACAGTTTTCTCTCTGTGCTGCTCTTAAACCAAACCCTCTTGTAAAACCCCACTGTTGAGGATCAGAACAAGCAATCAGCTGTTCACACTGGTGGTGGTGTACTTGATGAACCTCTTTTATGTAATAAAATTGATGTTTTTGTGTCCTGGGAAGGAAAATGTGATTACATTTCTATTAGAGGCAAGCATTGGGATAGGGGAATCCAGTGGCTGAGTGAGGGTGTTAAAAGCAAACACAAGGGCACCTCTCCACTCCACTGTAAGGTCATGGCATCTGCCAAACCAGAAGCGAAGCCTGACAGCTTTAACAAGATGTCCATTAGTCCAAGGAGAGTGGAACGCTTTAAAGACCTTGGAAAATCCACACTGAGGAGGCCAATATTTGAGATTGTCAGGATACATGAGATGAGCAGGGCTCCATTAGCATTGCGATATTTTGCAAACATAACAGCAGTGGTATCCAGCAGGGTCTGCAGATTTATTAATGGAAAAAAATTACATCACAGACAAGTATGTGCTGGCACTGAAATTCTGCAGGAAAATGAAAAAAACACTGGTGCAACCAAGGTGATCCTCTCCAGCAAATCAGACCTCCTGGGAAAAGCTCTCAGGTGTGTTGCCACAGCTGAGCAGTGTCAAGACACGGCTCAGGAGACTGGTGGTGTCCATGTGTATTTTGCCTGGATGAAATTCCTTACTGTTATTCTGTCTCTTCAAGTCAGCAGGGTCATTATTTGCATCAGCAGAGCTCTGGCCCTTTGGGAGCCTTGCTTAGCTTTGTCATGTCTAGCCTGGAGTTTGTAGTCCCACAGCAAAGCCAGAACTGATTAGTGTCTTCCCAGTTGGTCCAAAAAAGAGATCCATGGGCTTGGGTTGGCCAAGGAGAATACTGTGGGGCTTCCAAGCCAAGCTTTAGGAGGACTGGAGAAAAAAAATCCCACAACAGCAGCAGCCCTTGATCGTTTTTACCAACAGCAATGTAATATGTTTTTTTTCTGAAGAAAGCTTATTGGTTGGCTTCATCTTGCCAAAAGCCCTTAATGAGTTATTGGCCTCCTCTAATCACCTTGGCATGCCATGAGAGATAGTTTTCCATTTGTGAATTTTTCACAGGTCACTAAGGATGCCACTTCAGGGAGCTCGAGGTCTCAGTGTTGGATTGCTTTTAGGGTTGAGGAAGAATCTTCCCTTGGAGGGAGTTTTCCAAAGGTTAACCTCAGGGTTGATTTCATTTAGCATTTTCATCTGCACCCCAGCACAAGTAGGACAGCACTAATGAAATAAGCCGATGACACAGTGTTAAAGTGTCACCAAAAAAGGAGGGTAAAGTCATGCAAGAGGTTAAGGACTTGAGAAACAAGCGGAGTGAAATCAAGCAGACAGCCAATACTGTGCCAAAGGCTAAATTCATGATCTCACCAACTGTTAATAAGGGAAAAGGAGGAAGTTCTGGGGTCACAAACTGGCCCTGGGTTGGTTGCGTGCCACCACCACAACAGAAACACCAAAACATTGCATTTAACGTTGAGAGCACTTCGAGAAAGGGTCATTACACAGCCGTCTGCAAGACCTTACCTAAAATGGTGCCTGCAAGTCTGCTTTTCCTTGAATACTTGTGGAGAGAACAACTCCTAGGATAAGCAGCAGGAGGACTTTACTGAGATGAGAAGGGGTTGGCTTGTCTGTTCAAAGTCCATCTCTCTTCTATAAAGTCCTTTGGAGATAAGTGGGATGGGGATGATGCTAAGTAAATCTTAAAGCCAAGGCAGCACAAAAGCATACAGCTAAACAGACCATATATCAT